CCGGGAGGTTGAGACTGTAGTGAGATATTGCACCACCACATTCCAGCCTGGGCAACAGGGCGAAACCCCATCTCTACTAAAAAAGACATAAAGTTTAAAATGTATAAATAATTGTACTTTTTCATTAAAGGGCTGCTTTAGTTAGCAGTTGGAGATAAATTTAGGATTCCTGAGGGGGCACTTTCATACTCATTAAATATAATATAAATTACATTATAATTATATTATATATAATATATATTATAATTATATATGTTAAGTATATAATATATATTTATATTAAATAAATATAAATATACTTATACGTATATTATATATATGAATTTTTATATCTATAAATATTATTTATTTATTTATTTGCTGTTTCTGCTCTTCTCTCATGCCTTCCCCCTTTTTTTTTGGTTAAAAGCCTAAGCCCAGTCTGTTAGCCATAATGGTATCTGCCAGCACAAAAGTCAACAAATTCACGGGAGACAAAAGACATTCTTGGTCTGATTGCTCCTAATAAACTTCAGTGCTTCCAGACCACATAATGTCATACAATTATTTGTAATGCTTCTTTAAAAGGGTGACAGGGTTCAGAAATAAACTGCACATGGTAAGAAGAGCCTCCCAAGGGTTATTCCTGCAAAATTAGTTGCAAGGCTTTGGGAGCGCTGGTGGTTTCCGGCCATTAGCATTACTAATCAAGGCCAGCTTTGTATTTATGGGAATCTACACAAATCAGGATGATACATGCCATGTTCACTCAAGCAACCCTGCCTGATTTCCTCAAGGTTATGCTGAAATAAAACTTTCCTCCAATTATCTTTGATTGGAATGTTTCATGATTTTTATGTATCCTTGAGATAAAGAGAGACCATGAAGTAGCCACGTTAGGTGCATGGGTTACAAAATCATATTTAGGGCTTCAAGCTCACATAAAGCAATTACTGTCAACTCTCAATTAACCTCGTTACTGGAGGAAGCATTAATGCAGAAAATACAAATCCCAGATAACCCACCCATGTCATTCTTGCTGCCATGGTTTCAGTTGAGGTGAGAGAGACAGAAAGAGGGAGATAATGGGAGCAACAGGAAAATCTCAGGAGCCAAGAGGTCTCTACAGGAACATTTGTACAAAGTTGATAAATTCGGCTGTTCAGAGGTAATGCATTCATTCTTTACTCTCTTTTCATGCCCGCTGCCATTTTGCCTGCACCATGAAGCAAAAATAACACTGCTGCCTCTTCCAACTTCTGACTGACAAAAAAGTAGAAAGGCAGTAGGCAAAGAAAGTCAGTAAATAGTAGCCAGGGAAGCACTCTGCAAGGTTGGCAGTGCCCCAGCAGTCAGGGGGGCCGAGCAGAGGAGACCTGTGGGAACCACAGCAGGACTTAAACCTGAGGCTCTGTACCTGCAGCTATAGGATGCCTGGTGGTCCCCTGGCACAGAGAGGGTGCTTAAGAATTTTGCCCTTTAGGATTTTGACTGCATCCACCAAAATTATGAACACATTTAATTATAAATGATATTGTTAATCATTTTCACACATGATAAGCATTTTTATGCTACAGATTCATACAGGCATAATTCTGCTTCCATCAGTTCCTGGACATTAATGCTCTTCCATCCTTCTGATGTAATGGCCCCTCCAGGTCGGCACCTCCTTTCCAGGCCAGGAGGCACAGAAAGAGTAAAAATGATGCTTCTTCAAGTGATTCCTGGTGAATCACTTGAATGTTCCAGGGAGAGTTTGCATTTTAATAAGGAAGAACGTCCTAAGTCATAAGAATAAAACTACAGCAGGATTCTAGACCCCTCTGAGCAGTTGGGGGAATATGGAAAAAGGTACAGAAGGGACAGGGGAAACTCTGAAGCCACAGCTAAGACACAGCACCTTGGAAAGGAAAGATGGGAAATACCCTTAGGGAGAGAAAGATGAAAAATCACAAAGTTAAATGTTTTAGTGAAAAAAATTTTGTGTTAAAATACTGACATAGTTTGGCTGTGTCTCCATGAAAATCTCATCTTGAATTGCAGCTCCTACAATCCTCATGTGTCATGGGAGAGACCCAGTGGGAGGTAATTGAATCACGAGGGTGGTTTTTCGCATGCTGTTCTCATGATGGTGAATAAATCTCACAAGATCTGATGGTTTTATAAAGGGGAGGTTCCCCTGCACACAGTCTCTTGCCTGCTGCCATGTAAGATGTGACTTTGCTCCTCCTTTGCCTCCCACCGTGATTGTGAGGCCTCCCCAGCCATGTGGAGCTGTGAGTCCATTAAACCTCTTTCCTTTATACATTACTCAAGTCTTGGGTATGTCTTTATTAGCAGTGTGAGAACAGACTAATACAAATACTTGTAAAGAGGCACATTCCTATCTTTTGTAAATATGACTACAATAAAATTAATGGGATTTGGGAAGGAACAATTTATCAGGCTTTTTGGGCCTCAAAATGAATTTCTGTGTGTTAGAGTGAGAAGTCTAGTGGAAACTGCATAGACAGATACAAAACGTCAAATGACAGAGCAAGATAGAAATAGTAGAAAACATATGATGATTTCTAGAGAATACTGACCTAGATTATTCTTAAACGAGGGGAGTGAAGGGAGAGAAAAGAGGAGGGAAAAGGGAGAAAGAAATGTCACTTTCTTTGAAAGAAACCTTAAAAAGTTTAGAACAACGACAAACTAATAACTATGAAGGGAACAGTGACTCACAATAACAGGGAAGATTATGAAAGATGGAAATAGTGAATACAGAATATCAATGGGCAAAAAAAAAAAAGTTAAAAACATCGGTGAGTTGCACATCTCTGATTCCTTATCTATTCTTTGATTTCTGTTGTGAATTCTCAGAGCGCTGACCCTGTCCATGTGCTTGGTGGCAAGGGAGGCCCTGGGCACGGTGAAGAGGACTGCTCTGGCTGTCAGAGAGCTTAGCCACTAGGACGGCTGCCCCAGTGCACCATGAAAGCGTGATGCTGGGGCTTCTGGTTTAAGAGGGGTGGAGTAGCTGCCGATGAAAGACACTTATTCCTCTTTTTTATAAAACATAGGCAACACAACGACGATAGTGTTAGATGGAGGAAAATATCAGATGTACTAAAACAAATAACTAAACAGAAAGGCCACCACTTGTTTTACAAACCATGAAGCATACATGGAGTAATTTCAGGAAAGACACTGAAAGTTTACAAATACTTCAAGTTTCAAGCAGGTGCAAAATGTTTCCCTGAAAGAAAGGTCAAAAATGTCTAAAAGGCACACGCCATGAGCTTTTGAGTAAAGCAGCAAGATTTACAACGTAAGTCAAAACTTCCCCTGTAGAGACATAATTTGATACCACATACAGAAGGGAGCTAAGAGAAAACATGTTAACACTGTACTCCTATTTACTTGTTCATTGTATTACTGTTGTAGTTCTTTTAGCCAACAAAGGCTTCCACAGGCAATGACATATCCATAGGAATTCCAAGGGAGTAAACGTTAAGAAAGAAAAAATGTATGTATTCTATGTATAATATGTATATACACATATGCATATACTATATATTAGATATATATGCATATACACTTACACAGAGAGACTTACATTTTCTAGATAATTCCTTTATGCAGAAACTATAAATTTATGCTTTATGCTAATGGAAATTTTCTCTTAGATGAGTATTCTGATAGAAAGTATTTGAATTTTATATGGAAAGTCCAAAGAAGGAAATATTAAGTAATATGGAAAGCATTACACTCTGTTATGCTAAACAACGGAATTTGAGAGATCTGCTTTCAGAGGACAAGGATGACGGGATGAGGAGTGTAACCAAATTATAATGCTCCCTGGCCATTGTGTGGTTCTCAGGGGTTAAGGGCTATTTCATCCCAGAAAATGCAATTTGGCACAGAGAAAAAGCAATCCAGTGACAATCTGTCTGCTAATTGGTCTTAAAGCAAGCATGTAGGGCCTTCTACCAGCTACAGGCCTGACAAATATGATTAAGCCACTGGAAGGATTGATGAACAATGTTCTGATTCTTCCTACAGTGGACTTTGCGCATGCACTAGTCCATATCACCGGGACTTCTGTTTTTCCCCCAAATGAGCTGGCAGATGAAAGGTCTGAATTTGAATTGAGTAAAACCTCTTACTCGTCTTTACAATTTGTGATATATATGAATTCTCTTCTTCTTATCATGGCTATGCAAAGGTTAAAATCTATAGGGTCTCCTTGGGCCTTTAAAACACATGGTTTATGTGCAGACAATGGAAAATTAACAGACTTGTGAAGGAAGTTGAGTTATGGAGAGAATCTAACTGAAAACAATGAAAATCAATGAAGTCAAAACAGACCCAAACATTAAGAGGCATTTACTTCAACGATATTAGCTAATGGCTCAATTGGGTAAGTGAAGACGTATGAGCTAATACTGATTTCCTCCCCCAAGTTAAAAAAAATACTAGACTGGTTGACCCAAGAACCCTATCTTTCAAGTTTGGGCTGCTTAAAAAACTGTTACAGACTGAATTGCGTCCTCTGCAAAATTCATACGTGGAAGTCCTAACCCTCGGAACCTTAGAATGTGACTCTATTTGAAGACTAGGATTTTAAAAGAGGTAATTATATACGGTTAAATGAGGCCATTAGCGGGGCCTAATCTAACATGACTAATACATCTTAAAAAAATAGAAAGCTTTTTGTAAGGTATATCAAAAATAGGCTAAGACAGGCACAGAGAGAAGAGTGTGTGAAGACAGTCAGAAGGCGCCATCTGCAAGCCATAGGGAGAGAGGACTCAGAAGAAACTAACCCTGTGGACACCTGCATATCAGACTTCGGCCTCCAGAACTATGAGAAAATAAATGTCTGTTGTTTAAGCAACCGCATCTGTGGTACTGACAGCTCCAGCAAACTAATAATACAGAAACCTCTTATAATGAACTCTTTTTTTTGTCTCTTAGAAGTCTAAAATAAGAGCCGAGTTTCTTTTGTGGCTAAATGCATCCTCCATCATACTCACAACCCCAACAGGAAAGGCCAACACAGCTAACATCCAGTCCCGGAGAGAGATGAGCTTCTTGAGCTGCCTTTCTTGCTCCTGGTTCCCACTTCCTCGAGTCAGAAGACTGGAAAGATCAGTCAGCACACAGATGCCAAAAAAGACAGCCTGGATAACCTGTAGGGGGACAACAGCCAGTATTAGTCATTAAGATCTAGAGACCCAAGCTGTGGAACAGCGAATGAGCTGCTGGTGTGCAACGTGACATCTGAGAGGAAAGGATCAGAAGCATACTTTAAAGAGCTGGTCCTAGAAATAGAAAACAGACATTTACAACTTGCTATTTTAGGTGAGAAAGTTCATCTTTAAAACACAGCTTCCATTTTCACCCACATCGGGATAAGTGCAAAATATGCATGCACACACACACGTCTAAATAGGCCCAACAGAAAGCAATATCCACGATCAAACTGGCAGGACCATTATCTTAAAGCATTATGTCTATGGTTTGTCATGGTTCCTACTAGGTCGTGTCTAAATCATGTCCATGGTTTCTACTAGTCAATATAACTAGTGAGTTTAAACAAATATCTAAGAAGTGAAAACAAAAAGGTGAGGATGGTCTGAATAATAAGACAATTCAGGCTAAACGTGAAAAAAACCTTTTCTATGCTTTTGTTTCTTACATTTAGATATTTTTTCTACCAAAGGAAATGGTAGGAAGCGGATCCTTGAGTCACAAAAAATAAATCAACTGAATGTAATAATTAAGACTGGAATGAAACAAGTTTCTGTTGTCAGACTTGAACCAAATGATCTCCTACTCAGGTTTTTGGTATTAATGAAATAAAATATTTCCAAAGTAATATAAACAGAGATACCCATACCATTTCTCCCAATCCCCCCAAAAAAACTACAGGTTGTACATTCTCCAAATCAATTACAAATGGAATCATTTAGATTAGCTATGTTTTACTTGGACTGCTGCAGAGGGAGAATGCTGCAGGTAGCATATTGTAATACTGCAAGGCAGATGATAATTCAAATTATGCGAAGGGCAGAAAACATATCCCCTGGACACAAAGTCATACTCAATTAGCAGTGAGGATAGATTCAGGAAAACTTTTCTGACTTTTTTTTATCTACTGAAAATAATTTGCAGATGATACCTTTGTAAAAGATACAATTTTACTCACTGCCTCCTTAGAAAAGATAGCAAGTTTTAAACTATACTACAAAGCTACAGTAATCAAAACAGCATGGTACTCATACCAAAACAGAGATATAGACCAATGAAACAGAACAGAGGCATCGGCGGCAATGCCACACATCTACAACCATCTGATCTTTGACAAACCTGACAAAAACAAACAATAGGGAAAGGATTCCCTGTTCAATAAATGGTGTTTGGAAAACTGGCTAGCCATGTGCAGAAAGCAGAAACTGGACCTCTTCCTGACATCTTACACTAAAATTGACTCCAGATGGATTAAAGACTTAAACATAAGACCTAATAGCATAAAAAACCTAGAAAAAATGTGGCACATATACACCATGGAATACTATGCAGCCATAGAAAACAATGAGTTCGTGTCCTTAGTAAGGACATGGATGAACCTGGAAACCATCATTCTCAGCAAACTGACACAAGAACAGAAAAATCACACACCACCTGTTCTCACTCACAGGTGGGTGTTGAACAATGGGAACACACGGACACAGGGAGGGGAGCACCACACACTGGGGTTTGTTGGGGGTGACTAGGGGAGGGACAGTGGTGGGTAGAGAGTTGGGGAGGGATAACATAGGGAGAAATGCCAGATATAGGTGATGGGGATGGAGGCAGCAAACCACAATGCCATGTATGTACCTATGCAACAATCCTGCATGTTCTTCACATGTACCCCAGAACCTAAAGTGCAATTACGTGTGTGTGTGTGTGTGTGTGTGTGTGTGTGTGTGTATCTCTATATATATATTTTTAAAAAGAAACAAAGTGCTCACTTCGGCAGCACATATACTCTAATAAAAAAAGAAAGAAAGAAATGATAGTAAGTACCTTTTTTGGTATATTTCCTCACTGGCAGTAGAAAGAGTCTGTGAAAGCTCTGTGGATAGGGGTCCTTACAAGGGAAGACAGATCCTAAAAAATATTTGGTTCCATCACTTAGCACAGCACTAGAACACCCAAATTATTAAGTGAAGCTTTCTGGAGTTCACCAAATCTTACTATTATTAGTCAGTCTTAGTCAGAGCAATGTTCTACATTTCCTCATAATGTGGACTGTCTTTAGTTTCAGTGACTCAAGGTTTATTGTCATTCTTTCTACAGCCAGAAAGCCAGAGTAAGAGAAGCTAAGACTGCCACACTTGAGAACAACACAGTAGAAGTGCTGGCAAGATTCATGTTTTGATAACCAGAAATCACTTCAATGACTCTGAGAATAATTTCATACTTAGAAAAAATTCTATTTTCTATTTTTCATATCTTTCTATTCATATATTCTTATTTTTCACACCTTAGGACTTTAGATGTTTGAATCTCTATGTTGTTCCTGACGGAGTTTGATTACACTGGAGTGACCCTACTGGGGAATAATAATCTTCATGCTAATCTAGCTAGTAAACATAAAAAGGTGACTAATAACCAGGGATATACAAATTAAGACCACAATGAGGTAGCAATTCTCACCATTATAATTATTTACAATTTAATTGTGATAATACTAAGTGTTATAAAGATGCTCCTCAACTTATGATGCAATAACGTCCCTAAAAATTCATAGTAAACTGAAAATACCTTAAGTGGAAATGCATTTAATACACCCAACCTATCGAATACCATAGCTTAGCTTAGCTTCCCTAAAACATGCTCAGAACACACACATTAGCCTGCAGTTGAACAAAAACATCTAACACAAAGCCCATTTTATAATAAATGTTAAAAATCTCATGTAATTTATTAAACATTGTAATGAATGTGAAAAACAAAATGGCTTCATGAGTACTCAAAGTATGATTTCTGTTGAATGTGATCACTTTCACACCATCATGAAGTCAAAGTATAATTAGTCAAAAATTCTGAGTTGTGAACTATTTATAGTAATTTAAAAATGCATATACTTAATTTATTTAGTGATATAATTATAAAGTGCATTCCCTACAGAAACTCTCCCTGCATGTGTACTAGTCATATCTACCAAAGGTTAATTTAAGTGTTCGTTGCTTAAGAGAAATTGAAATAATTATATGTTTCTTAATAGTTGACTGGATAAGTAATTGTGTCATATTCATACAACGGAAATCTAAATAAATTTAAACAATTCACTTTCACAACAAAATATTAAACCAAGAAAAAAGAAAACCAGGAAAGAATCGTACATTCTGACACAATTGAATCAAATTTCAAAAAATGCAAAGGTAAATTTAAGTTTGCAGGGATATGAAGTATATGAAGAAATGCATGTGAATTAATAACACTGCATTAAGGCACCTCTAGAGAGAAAAGGATAAGATTGGAGGAAATATTATCTGTATAGGGCATCAACTGTACAGATAATATTTTATTTCTTAAGTTGGTTATTTGGCATATAGAAATTTATTGTATTACTCTCTCTATATTTCATTAGCATAAAATATTTCCAAATATCTTGAAAGTTTAGAGAGAGTGGTTTTTATTCTTTTGAAATATAGTTGGCTAGTCTCTTTCAAATCCTTTCCTTCCAACTCAATATCCCTTAGTTTCAAAGACTGACTGAAAAGAGGATTCGGTAAGCTTAAAAAGCCTAGTTATTGCATTATATGTAAAATTTCTGTGGGAGTTTTATTTATAGGCAAAGGAAATAGAATATTGCCTTGGTAATGATAAAGTATAAATATCTGGAGACTACTGAATTATTTTATGCAGCCTGGAAAGCAAGGAAACATGATGGAGGATAAGTCCAAGAAAGAAAGTTCTAGTTAAAGCTATAGCAATACCCCCCAAAGACAAATGAATTCACTACGACTGTTCAACTAAAAACTCCATGATATAGTAACTGGACCAGATTTGCCTTCACACCATAAACAACTAGCCATTTGGACTAAATATGTGAAGCAACCTTTTCAGATATTGGATTTTTTACTCAGCAATCAGTCAGATAAATCTCTTTTTAAAGGGCTTACCAGATGAAATCAAGCCCATCTTAGATAATTTCCCTTTTTCCATATAAAGTCATCATAAGAATAATCATATTCACATTCTTTCTGAACTCAGTTGGAGGGGAATACACAAGGGTGAATATCTTTGGGGTCATTTTAGAATTCTACCTACTACAAGCAATAGGCTAAACAATTCTCAAAGCTCACTCAGGATACAGACGTATTCCAGTTCTGATAAATCACATAGGAAAGGCCTTATCGGCTACAACAGGCATTCCATAGAGACCCAAGAAGTCTCATGCCTAAACAGGGCACTAACATAGCCCTGGAATAAAGACTAAAATAGATCCACCTCAAAAATACTTAAAAATAATGCTCAATTAGGCCGGGCATGGTGGCTCAAGCCTGTAATCCCAGCACTTTGGGAGGCCGAGGCGGGTGGATCACGAGGTCAAGAGATCGAGACCATCCTGGTCAACATGGTGAAAACCCATCTCTACTAAAAATACAAAAAATTAGCTGGGTATGGTGGTGCATGCCTGTAATCCCAGCTACTCAGGAGGCTGAGGCAGGAGAATTGCCTGAACCCAGGAGGCGGAGGTTGCAGTGAGCCGAGATCACGCCATTGCACTCCAGCCTAGGTAACAAGAGCGAAACTCTGTCTCAAAAAAAAAAAAAAAAAAAAGAAAAAAGAAAAAAATAATAATGCTCAAAAAAAAAAAAAGAAGCTGATCTATAAGTAGTTTATATGCCTATTAAAAACAAAATTCTACATTTTTTAAAGGAAGACAACAAATTCCAGACATTCAACTACATAGTGCACAATGTCCACCATCTAACAAAAATTACGGAACATGTCAAGCAATAGAAACATATGATCCTTAACCAAGAGAAAAGTCATTCAATAAAAACAAATATAGAAATGACAGAAATACTGGCATTGGTAGACAAGGGCATGAAACAACTAAACTAAATCAGTTCAAAAAGTTAAAGGAAGACATAAAAATAGTGACAGAAATAAGAATTTAAAAAGAATC